ACATCCACAATATCTTTTCACGTTTATGTCAATGTTTATAGTAAATCTTATTTAGGTTATTCTGTTTTTGATGAAAACCAATGAAACTAATAAACTAGCCAGTATAAACACTGGCAGTCTACCACTAAATAGAGACCTCTTATTAATTTGACTGTATTATATTTTCTAATAATTAGTTATAGTTTTATTAAATTAAAGTGGTCTAATTTGTTTAGTATATATGGGATACAAAAATTTTTCATTAATATTAGATATAAGGTCGAGACTATAATTTATGAATGAAACAATCAGGTATAACAATAACACGTCTCGAATTTTGGTGTGGAATTCAATCATCCATTAGGATAAATACAGTTTCAGCATTATAGATGATGTCAGTTCATGATGAAAACCCTAAATGGAATTCTTAACTTCAATCATCAACTGTGAATCATAATTGTAATCCTTCACACTGGTTTATAATCCTCATTTGGTACTGGTTATTAGGTGGACACTGTGAAGGTCAGTCTAGCGTCGTCCATAAATTATAGTCTCATCGATATAACATTCATATTCGAAAGTTCCATCTTGTTGCAAGTATTATGAACTGAATATTGAATAATTATCGTTTTGTCACCTTAGTGATTGTTTATTATCATGAATATTAATTGTAATCATACTGATTCCTTTCTCAGCAGTCGATATCAAATAGTTAAAATTAACTCTTCATTGTCTAACGCTGTCCCTGTTAGAAGTGGTGTAATACAAGGTAGTGTCTTAGGCCCTTGGCTCTTTTTAGTGTTTGTCAATGATATTTGTGAAAGTTTCTGTGTGGGTAAGCCCCTTCTATATACAGATGATCCTAAAGTAGTATATTCATTTTCTCCACATGAGCTGGAAAATATGCAAAATTGCATCAGCATGGAGCTTAACAAGGTAGCACAGTGGTGCTTAAAATGTCAAATGGAGCTTAATACGGCTAGATGTGGATAGATATGCTTCAGCGATACATCACTCAACCTAGACCTTACCATAAATGGAGAAGTGATATCTAGGTTACATACAGTAGTAGACTTAGGACTTAGATACTCCCAAGACTTGTCGTTTACAGAACAGATATTAAAACAGACCTCTAAGTCTCAACGTCTAGTAGTTTACATAACTCGAAACCTTTATAACAATGAGTCACGTATTCTAATGTACAAAGTTTGTGTTCGACCTCTTCTAGAATATTGCGCGTTTATTCTTAGCAGTGCGCGCATAAAGGATAAATTAAGGCTGGAATCAGTACAGAGGTGATTTACACTTCGTATTCTTGGAGCTGATTGTACCTTAACTTATAATTCTAGATGTAATAAACTTGGGCTAGACCCTTTATGGAGGAGGAGACTGAAACTAAATCTTATCTTTCTCTTCAAACTATTTCATAAACTATCCTTTATATCCAATCACGCGATTCAATATGCAGAACTTCTCATTATGACATCCGTAATTCCTTGACACTAGTGAAACAAACTCATTCTAAATCATCTCTTTATATGAATTACTTCACCTGTAAATTTTCTAGACTCTGGAATAACCTACCACAATCTATCCGTATCGATACATACTGCTCCTCTGAAAATGCATTGGATGGTCTAGCACCTGTAAGTGTATCTCATTCCATAAGTAGTATTATAGGATCTTTAAATGTTAAGCCATTTTTATTAGTACATTCCCTAAGTAAAACCACCTACTTGCTATCACTTTATGTGAACACCGCTCCTAGCAACTTTAAATAATTTGAGTAATATCTAACATCAACAGTATATTACTGTGTCACATGACACACGCATTTAGGTAGACCTGATTCATATATTTTGGTAATTACTGCTTTGTTGTTCCGTGCTCTCTGTTTTCGTTTTAATTTCTCTAGTTGTAGATAATTATCATTAATTCGATCTGGCACACGAAATGACCTTAATTACGCCGTTCATAAATCACCAGGCTATCCATTTAAGATATATTAAAAATTCCCGGCTGATGCAGTGGATCGCTGTAATACATGTACTACTTAAACAATTACTGAACTAGTATACTTTAAACTTTCTTCTATCACATGTTTGTTCTGCACATCTAATGTTACTATTTATATCAAATTGATCATGCCTGTAAACTGGAGTGAATTCTGCAATTATTATTTTCAGAATATAAATTATTATTATTAAGATTATTACTCTCATGAATGTAGTTTAATAAAAACAATTACATCAACAATCTTCTATTCAGCTTTTTTGATTGCCCTTTAATTTGAGAACAAATCATAATGGTTGTTATGCGTGCGACAAATATTATTATAGGCATTGGATAATAGTAATTCATCGTTACAAATTGACTAAAGTTAAAAAAATGTAGACCACTAAATGCTAACTCAGTAGTTTGAAGGTTAACCTCTGGCTGTCCTGAATTCGGTGCTTGATCTAGTCGTAGATACGGACGGCTGATGACTTTCCATTTAGTGATGTAAAACTATGTAAACATCTAAGTTGGTAACATTTCAAATACATCAAAATAAATTTATATGATATGTCTTTTTATTCTTTTTACTCGATTTTATTAGATGCTATACGTCATACTTTGTAATCGAACAAAAAACATTTCCAGCAAGAGATAAAGTCTCAACAACACAAAGTATATGTTACTAGGGTATCAGTTGGTTGTATTTCCTTTGTTTACCTACGTTTAGTCAGTTGTAGGATTGAAGTGAATAGAAGGAGAGTGGGAAAAAAACATTTTTTTAAAAAGAAAAGCCTTTAAAAATGTTTCATTGATGTTTTGCTTGATTACTACGTATACTTCCTAATTTTACTGAAAACCTAACATGTAAAGAATTGTAAGAAAGAAATTAAATAAAATGGGAAGTTTCTGAATATTATATATTCAAGAAAACAATACCAAGTGAGTTTAAAACCACTCTATTGCACAAGTAAGTGGCTATTAAGACCCAGTATTTAAGTGGATAACGTGATAGCGTTTAAGGCGAACGGTACTGGGTTCGAGTTCTGGAGTGAAAATCAACTCTGAGATGCAAATACATCCAACTAATGAGTCCCAAATAAAACAAAACACGCATCCTGGATTCCACTACTAGCCACTATCCATCTTTGCTCATATTTGTTTATGCCAAAATAATGATTGGTATTGAGTGATGAAAATCATAAATAAAATATTTATCCATCATTAGTAAACTTTTAAATTTAAGAGAAAAAATATGTTTACATATGTTTATATGAAGTATTGCTATGATTAATGGAGTAGATAGATAAAAGTTTAACATTATTATTTCAATTTTTTATCTTCTGTCTTCTCAATAATCAAAGCGTATTAATTTAAAAGTTAAAAAAAGATGACATTTATTGATAAAACAGTGTTGAAGAGATAACTGATCCTAGAATCTTTTACCGTATTCAACAAATTTGTTCATTTAATAAGAATGTAATAAAACTGTTGAAAGATAAACAGAATTACTTTATAAGATGAATGATGACTAGCAGTGCAAACCAGGATGCGTGTTTCATCCTGTCTGATACTCATCGGTTGGATATATCTGCATTCCAGAGTGAACATCAACTTTGATGAGTCCAAAATAGGCTGAACCGCGCGTCCTGAATTCAACTGCTAGTCACTATCCATTATCCTTGCTTATAATGCTTGTTACTTAATTAATACAATATTGAAGCAGTCCTCAAAGAGTGCATATGTGCCAGTTAGAGACTGATCAATTGCAGTCCTAAACATCAATGGGAATATTTAAACAAACAATATGAAATGAATTAAGAATTACTTCACTTTTTACACAGTTCATATAAAAATCAAACTGAAGTTGTTTTTCTGATTTCACATCATAGACTAGTTTGTCTGAGACAACTAGTGAAAATGAGGAAATACTGAACAGCCGTTATGTTGTAATATAGGATTTCTCAATGAGCGTACATATCCACGACTTTATCAATGATTAAGAAAGCCATACAATGATTCCTGGTTTCCAGTGAATATCCAATTGAAGTCAATCTTTGGTGTCAAACTACAAATTCAACAATTGCAATTAACCTTCTACACAATGAAACTATTTAATTGGTGTATAAAAATCTCTAATTAACACTGAATTTTTAAATATTTTACTTGTAAAACTGGAATTTTCATTACATACTTCCTACCCTGAAATTTATTCATTATCTCCCCCTAACTATGTTGTATCTAAATAATACTTGAAGATTTTAACGGTCAAAATTCCGTGCAAATAAGAACAATGCCTAAGTTTAATAAAATATAGTTGAGATGATAAATTAGCTATTAATTATAAGGATAATAATATGTACTTGATAACAAGAAAACGATCGTGGATGCGCACTTCTGAGGAATCCCACAATGGAACGAAACGTATGTCCAGTGCTTCCAGGTTTTCCATATTGGTCTAAATTAAATTGACTCATGATCTCAACTATTGAAAAAAAAAACGATTATTATTTATTAACTTTTCAATACACTTGATCTTGACAGACAAGCGAATCCAAAAGACCTAATTGACTCAATTGTGAAGTGTTTGACTTTAATACTGAGGGTTATAACTTTAAATATCCAAAATGACATTGTACTTTTATGAAAAAGATGATACTTTAAAATAACAATGATGACATTCTCGAAACTTATCACAAGAGTATTTCGAAATAAACTTTAATAATATATCAATCATCTTGTAGGTCAATGAATTGCTTTTTAATAATTGTAGTTTAATAAAACTCTAATGACTTCAATGACCTTTCATAAGATGATCCAAATAAATATCAGCCGATGATAAACAACTATGTTCTTCTCGTTATTAGTATGAAGGTTAAATTCGTAACATCCTCACTTATTGTTTCCTCAGATAGTATAAATATTTTACAGGTAAGTAAGTGTCTAATATGATACTGATTTTGGCAGATATATTTAAAAAACACACAGGATCCTTTAATTAAAGAAATATTACTAGTATAACTTACCATACAATGAATTACTGTATGACTTAAATTATGTCCAAGTTTTGGTACAACAATTTGAGGTAAACTTTCTAAATATCCACCCATTGATACAGCACTAGTAACTTGTTGATATGAATGTATATCATTACTGAAATAATAAGCTTTAGCTGCAAAATTATTCACATCTATAGCAAATTGTCTAGGTGATTTTAAATTATATTTATTCAATATAGAATTAGCTTCAGAAGATAATGGTCTTAGATTACATAATGTTAATGATGGAAATGGTGATGGTGTATCACGTAATACTTGTGGTGGATGAATTACATTATACTCCAAATATTGTCGTGTTAATATAAACATACAAACAAATAAACCACCAAAAAATAAAATCACTGATGCAATCCATAAAATTTGTAATGTTTTATTTCTAGCGGTCACAACTCTTGTTACTCCACGTATAGTAGTAGTTTGACAAAAATGAAGAAATTCTTTTTTTAAATCTTTTCTCAATTGAGATTCATCTTTAGAAGTTAATTTTTTTGATTTTTTAGTCATGATATTAAAACAAAATGTATTTACATTATATGAATATGAAAAGTTTAAATTAATGAATATAAGAACAACAAGTGAAATGTTTGCCTAGTAATTAAATTTTATTTGAGAATATACCTACAATAGGATTGGTCCATTTTTAGTTGCTAGGATTTCCAAGAATGAACCAATCATAATACAGAATAATTGATAATTGGTCATTTACAGAAAAAAAAGATTAAACATAAACTTTATCTCTATACCTAATATAAAGTATAAAAAATATTTTGCACTGGAAAGAAATATTAAAATTTCTATTCTTTTAATCAGTTGTTTCTAAAGATTACTCATAAACCATTTACAAGAGATATAGGTTATAGTAACAAGCTTTTTTTTATAATATAAATTGACCTATGTTAGCGTTGAGGCATAATTTAGAAAAGTGAATAACTTTAGAACAAGTTTCAGTTAAATGTTGAACGAATGGTGAGAATATAAATTATAAATGAACCAATCAGGTATAACAATAACAGGTCTCGAATTTTGGTATGGAATTTAATCATCCATTAGGATAAATACAGTTTTGGCCATTATAGATGATGTCAGTTCATGATGAAAACCCTAAATGGAATTGCTAAATTTAACCGTCAACTGTAAATCATAATTGTAATCCCTCACTCATACTGGTTTATAACCTTCATTTGGTACTGGTTACTAGGTGGACACTGTGAAGGTCAGTCTATTGTTGTTCGAAGGTTGTCCATAAATTATAGTCTCACCAATGAATTAATACTGTTCAATAGCTCATGAAATGAAAAATAAACTCTGGATTAATTTTGTCATTAAAGTTCACTGGATAAAAAAATGAATCTGATTCTCCAGTGAATTGGCAATGAGAACAATATTTCTAACTAAATGAATAAAGCATAATATTATTAAGGGCATATTGTCATCAAAATAAATGAAACGTATTAGAGAATTATTTATTAATCATTAAATAGTCAATCAAGAATGATAAATGTATCTTACTAAAACATTCATTAGTTCCTTACATGATTGAACATTACTATTGACGTTTAATTAATCTAATGAAATAATATACAGTTTAACCTGAAGTTTTGAAAACAAATTCTTAATACCTTTTAATATGGAGTGTGATTTCAATGATTTCTTTCTACAAAAATCAGTAATCTTAGATTTTATACTTTCTAAAGGATTTAAAATAGATAAACTTCTAAACATGTATAATTTGTTTTACTTATTTAAACACATAAACATTGGTACAAGAAGGCACCAAATAGATATGCACCACATAAATCATTCAATTTGTGTGAAGGCTAGGATACTGTCTAAGTGCCTAAATCGAAGCAGGTGGTTTTCTTAGGCGGCCACACCCTGAGCCTTCGACCTAAAGGTCTGATCCACAAAGCAGTAGAACAACATAAGGAGATGCAGTCCCATGTCAGCCGGTGATCAACGATTGGTTCGTACGCCATTTGACCCTTCAGGATACGAGAGCCCATGTACACCCTTGGTTTGGAATCAGGGTTTTCCAACTCCCCTAAGTGGACTCTCCGTGTCTATCAACCCGGTTAGAGCGCCGGACATTCGGTTTTCGTCCTCTCAATTTCGTAAACAACAGTAATCCGGCGAGAATGTAGTGAGTAGGACTTCCCTGGCAGTGGTTGTATGCACGTGACTATGTGAAAGCATTTCGAGAGAGAGAGTCGACTCTCCCCACTCTCGGCCGTACCAGAGCATTGGGGGGCTAATTCGTATAAACAAATTCATTCTTCAATCATTTTGACACATGAGAATTCCAAACCATTTTACGGATTAATTCTTAGACTATATACCTGTGAAAATCATATAAAAAATATAATACCATTATTGAAATCGAATTCAATATGAATTGTTCTTTTTAAAAAAATGATAGAATTTTCGTACTACTGAAAATCTAAAATCAAATTTTTTGTTATATAATTCCGTCATTAATTGTGATTAATTTAGAAGTTTAGCAAGGGCAGCTAATTTACAACTGAAGAACATCTAGAACTCAAAACAACTGTCAACCAACACCAAGGTCAGAATTTTCAATACAAATGTTAAAACAGTTCTACTGTATGGGGCGGATACCTGGAGAACTACGAAAGCCATCATCCAGAAGATACAAGTGTTTATTAACAGATGTCTACGAAAAACACTTCGGATCCGTTGGGCAGACACAATCAACAACAACCCACCATGGGAGAGAACAAAACAGATCCCAGCGGAGGAGGAAATCAGGAAGAAACGCCGGGAGTTGATAGGACAGATATTAAGGAAAGCACTCAACTGCGTCACAAGACAAGACGTCACATGGAATCCTGAAGGCCAAAGGAGGAGAAGACGAAGACCAAAGAACACATTACGCCGAGAAATGGAGACAGTCATGGGAAAAATGAACAAACATTAGATAGAACTGGAAAGGAAGGCCCAGGGCGGAGTGGGTTGTAGAATGATGGTCGGCGGCCTATACTCCGTTGGGAGTAACAGGCGTAAGTAAGTCAGTAAGTAAGTACGTAATTTAGAAGTTTCAATTCATTCTAATATTCTCAATTTTCTTTATTACACTGAAGCAATCTTAAGATAGGATTATGGTTTTAGTTTTTAACAACAATTAAAAATCTTAGTTAGAATCGATTAATAAAACAATTTTCATCATTGTAAATAAGAAGAAGGATCGGTTTTATGGTTGGTAGCTACCGTGTTAATGATGTAATAAGAAAATTGTGTAAGTGATATTTGGAATTTAAAGAAATCTGCAGTTTTCACTGGATTTTAAACATTATTATTTAAGCAGAGCTGGATTCTGACTAGTAGTGATACCCAGGAAGCTCATTTCATCTTAGTTAGGACTTGTCAAAGGCATTACAGTGATTAATAATCCTTGCACCACATGGGAACACCTAAGCAGTTTGCCTTAAATGCACATATACCAGAAGAGATAATGGTAATATTAAAGCCTTTAGAAATTAATTACTATTTAGGGATTGAGATCTCACTGCCGTTTAATTTTACTGTCAAGACTCAATAGTTCAATGGGTTCCTGTTATATCCCGATAAGAATAATGAATGATAACTGTTGGGATCTATTTCCGGACTAATACTATACATATATTTTTATTGTATAATTGTTTAATAGGTAAACTACGCATATTCATGTGCCTCTTATTATATGCTTTATTTCGACCTATGAACTATCACTATACGATTTACCATTCTTGAGTTATGCCCAGTCTATCAATTACTATCTCCCACATCCACAGCTACTTCTGACTAAATCTTGTACAAATGTTGTATCCTATTTTATGGTACGATGTCGTCTGTTTGGTTTGTAGATTAACCCAGTATGTTTGAAATACATGATTCATATCGTTGAGGCTGAGATTGATGTTCTGGACTTAACAGGCAGGTCTAGGCAGGAAGAAGGACCGATAAAGACTCTAGACTGCTCGTACAGGTTTATGCGTCAGTTGTCCGGTCGATAAAACACTGTTCTCTAATTGGCGGTATCATTACGTTATACATTAATAGGGGCACAAACCCACAAGTTATAACAGTTTCTAATTCAATTTAGTCAATTAACAGTGTAACATAGATATAAACATCGGACACATAATAAGTATTTCTTGTTTCGATTAAAGATTGTCAAAATAAATAGTAAATAGTCTGCCAGAAGTTTTATTTGTTTGCTTAATGTTCACTATCCAAAGTTACGAAGTTGTAAGTTAATGAACGTGGTTGAAAGCTTGAGACTTAATAAAAAAACATATGGATCTCAATGTGACGAGCTTTAAATAAATGTATGCCGTCTGGGTACAAAGTACTTGTGCTATGCTGTGTATGATTACTCTGAATTCAGTGGTTCCAAATCAAATTGTAACTTTGATTTTCACATTACGTAACTTATTGTTGTAATATTTATATCACATCATCATCTTTACTCCTTGTTCATATATCCTCATGGAACTTATTCTTTAACAAACTTTTCATGTATATATGCGTACATATATGTACATAATGTACAGAACATCTCACTAAAATCTGAGAACCATGCAGTAAATACTTAATTTGCAAAATATCAATCAATTGTCTCAAACTTGACTATTCCTTTTGCAACTACCAGTCAATCGTCTCAGCCTTCATTGTTTCTGCAGTTTCATGCAACTTGCGTTCCGTTCCCGTTCTTTCCTTTTTAGATCTACTAAAATACATTCTATTCTTGACTATTGTTATATACTACTTATGTGGATAAAAGTAGCTCACTTCACAATATTACTTCATTAATTTAATCGAATCCATCAAGTTTAAAAATTTCATCATGTTTTAACAACATCTGATTACATTAGTTTCAGCCTTTTTTGTTTTAGAAGAATTATATCACTCCCAAGTAGATTATTAACCCCTTGCTTTTATAGTAATAAATTTCATATTATACTAGAAGCAAAGATTACTTTTGATTAACTGAACTTTGAATTTCAAGTTTTTTGACAAATTATGTAACTTGGTGATTATTTCCCAAGATAAGTTGTCTATCATAATGTTTATAAAGAAAAATTCATGTCCAAAGCCTCATAGACATATCATTGTTTTCTGTTTATTCTATAATAGCTTTGAGCTTGTGAAAATATTGGGTCTAATATAATTCACCATCCTGTTTCTCAATAAATATAACATTACTTTCATAACGAAAGATTAACAGCAGAACCGCTGTATATATCGGTGAACAAGAACAACCTGAACCGAAAGGATCGTATTCAAATAGCATCTACCTGGCAAATATTCATTAACAAGTAATTGGACCCTTTCTTTATTCAACCTGTTTATTTCACATGTATCGTTATTTTGACTGGAATCTAATGTGAGTTATTTTCAACAATACATTTATGAGAATAGGTTTTGTGGAGATTTTAGAAACTTCACAGGTTGAAATCATGAGTCAATACATTTATGTATTTGATGTTTCTCATTATACTTGCACTTCAATGATTTAGAAAAAAAAAGTTTTTTGCAATTTGCACTTTTATTTTTTCCTTCATATAAAACATATTAACA